GTAAATTTGTCGACGGTCGTCAGACCAGCAGGGAGCAACACGCGCACATCTTGAAGCCGCTTCTCTTTGCCACCACTATCTTCGTCCGCCCAAGGGTCCGCCTTCATCGGAGCTGCCGTTGCCAAGGACGATATCAACAAGTATTTTTCAATCATGGCGTCATTCTTTAGAATCGGGGTGCGCTGTATGTTGGGGTAAGCAATGGTGTCGCACGGGCCCTCGGCGCTTCCCTGGAACGACGTTTGAAGCTCTGCAATGGCGGCCTGGTCTTCGACGGAGGCCGAGTCCTGCTCCTCGGCTTTCACGGCAACAAACGACTCGATGAAGCTCTTCAGCTCGGCGAATTGAGGCTGCGCAATCTGCGCAGCGCCCGTCGTGTCGCCGCCATCGGCCGTCGTCGGCCCCTGGTCCTCTTCCTTGACGGCGGGTGCTGTAAGGTGATGCTTGACAAGCGCATCGACCAGGTATTTTCTTCTTCGCCCCCTGCGACTTGAAAGATGCACCGTTCTGGATACACCTGGCCTTCAAGGTGTTCATTCTGATAGCCTCCAGCTTCTTTCGCAATTCATCTTCCCGCGCCTGCTTGGCCTCCTGCGCCTTCTTCTCCTCCTCCTTCTCTTCCTTGGTTGTCTCCTGATCGCCATCCTTACCCTTGTCCTTGACATTCACTCTCTCAAAGACGTTCGTGCGGATCTGCTTCCACTTAGCCTTCCACGTGTCCTCGTCATGGCACGAGAAATCATTCAACCCAACCTCGAACGCGAGCATGGGAAAAGCCGAATTTACCGCGTTGAGCATATCAACAGGCTTCAGCAGTGCGCGGTAGTTCTTGGAAGCAGCCATGCCGGCCTCTGCCTCCTGGGGAGAGCCGAAACTTCTGAAACCACCCCTGGTTCGGACCCCCCCATCCGAACCACGAGGGGCAGGGGGGGGGCAGGAGGAGGAGGGGGAGCAGGAGGAGAAGGAGGAGGAGGAGGGGGAGGAGGAGGAGGAGGAGGAGGAGGAAGGGTGGAGGAGGAGGAGGACGACGAAGAGGAGGGGGAGGACGAGGAGGAGGAGGAAGAGGAGGAGAGGGGGGTCCGAACCAAGGGATTATTGTTTCTCCTCCTCCTGCACCTTTCTCCTCTTCCCTGCTCCTCCTCCCCCCTCCTCCTCCTCCTCCTCCTCCTCCTCCTCCTCCTCCCTCCTCCCCCTCCTGATCCTCCTCCTCCTCTTCCTCCTCAGGACTCCTCCTCCTCCTCCTCCTTCGCGCGCGGCCCCGGCTCCTTCAGCGCGTGGCGTGTCATCGCTGGGCGAATGTCCATGAAGTCGGAGAGCTGCTGCAGACTCGTGATATTCTTGACCATCTCGCCAAGTAGCGGGTTCACATCCCCCAGCCCAGCGAACACGACGCCATCCTCAGAGGCGCGCTTGTCCATGGAAGAGACAAGCAAGTGGAACACCTGGAAGATGTCGAACGGGATCAAGTTGCCAACCAGGGGGGCGATCACCTCCACGACGGTGTCGAGCTCGCAATTGCTGGCCAGCTGCTTAATGGCAGCAGCGTCGGTCTTGAACTTGGCGCGCGCACCTGCCGCAGAGGTGGTTAGTCTTGGAATCGTTCGAATCAAGGACTCGAGGCTGTCAGTGACCGCGCCACCACCCACTTCTTTTGCAATCATTTCGAAGTCGGTTGCCAAGACGTCGAGCCTCTCCAGCGGCGTCGCATCTTTAGAAAGGGTGCCCACGAGTACCGCCAATGCCTTCTCGTTGAACCCCTTCGGCACCTTCGCGGAGTTCACCGCCTTCGCCGAGCTGTCATCGTCTCCGTCGGACCCTGAGTATTCTTCTTCTGCGGGCTTGTCCGGCTCATCGGCGCAGTCGCGCCCCCTGATGACGTAGCTGACCATGCCCTTCCTGAACTTGAGGTACTTATCTTTAAACGCAGTCACCTTGCCGCCGCCGCCGGGGACCCCGACCTCTTTGTTAATTATGAACTCCAGGCCGTAGAGGCATGCCCCCTCGAGGATGTTCACTCTGATAGCTCCCGCCCTCTCCGCTGCCTTGCTTGCGACCCAAAGTATGTCATCAAAAACCGCAGCATGTTCGTCATCAGCAAAAACCACACAATCGTCCTCCACTGGAGCGCAGGCCTTTCTCTTCTGCGGCTTCGGCTTAGGTGCTGCCAGGCACTTGCTCTTCTGTTCCTGCTTTGCGTGCTTGGCTAGCATGAGTCCATACTGGAGTTTGGTGATGTCCGAAGGTTCCTTGATCAAATGTGGGGTCTCATCGCTCGCCGGCACCGTCATCTTCAAAGCCGGCATGATGAGCTTCTTGGCGTTAGACGGATGGAGTGCCTCGAGTGCGAGGACCACGTTGCATTGAAGTTTCATTATCTTCTCGTGCGCGGGCTGGCTGCCTATGAGCGTGAACTTCGCGTGCGTGCCCATGTGCGTCTTAAACTCGCCCCACAACCCAAAGTGGTTCATTTTGCAGTAAAAAGCCCCGCAGAGTTTGCACAGCGTCCATGATGGGTATACTTCGGGGAAGGCCTTCTTCAGGTAATCCCACTGGTCGGTCCCCGTACTCCTCGTCGGTTTATCGTTGGCCTCGGCGTCGGGCACGCGCTCCCCGGCCTCGGCCTCGGGCCCCCCCTGGCTGCCCCTTCTTCATCCTCCTTTTCCTGGTTGGGGTATCGATGGCCCCCTTCTCGGCAAGCTGTTTCTTCCGCTTGTCCGTTTAACTCTTAGTCCACCCGTCGGCCATCAGTGTCAGCTTGCCGTATTTCTCCATGAAGCCCGCGGCGCTGGCGAGCCCATCGGTCAGGTTGCTGAGGTCCTTGAACCAGCGGATGCCGTCCACAGGAGCATTCGGCCTGAGCTCGGTGCAGTCCAGGACGCCTTCCGTCGCTGTCAACTCAAGTTGTTCGTTCTTGTGCTCCTCATCCCTCTTGTATGCCTCGTAGAATGCCTCGACGAGGTGGGCCCCTCCAACGCGCGAATATCGATTGAACTGCTTGCTGGGCTGAGTGCAGGTGTAGACGGGGCCTTTCAAGAAGAGGACCTCGCCACGCTGGCCCAGAAGCCATCCACTCTTTTCAAGTGTTTTGACGTAGTCGCCGCGAGTCTCCTCTTGGACCCTGCCCTTGTTCTCGTCGCGGCGCCCCCGCAGCGGCCCCCCGTCGTCGGCGAAAAAAAGTGCACTGCTGACGTTCCTGGGGCCGAGGAAAAGGAGGAGAAGGAGGAGGAGGAGTAGGAAGAGGAGGAGAAGGAGGAGGAGAAGGAGGAAGACGAGGAGGAGCAGGAGGAGGAGGAGGAGGAGGAGGGGTAGGAGGAGAAGGATGAGGAGAGGTTCGGGCTCGGAGTCACTGGAGTCCCCCCTCTATATCCCTCCCCACTCCTTCCCTCCTCCCCTCCTCCTCCCCCATTTGCGCCCGTGTATTGATTCACATAGAAGCCCCGCGCTTTCTTCTGCAGGGCCCTCCCCTCGCAACCTAGCCTGTCCTCGAGGGAAAAGAACCCGGGCGCGGGGGGGTCGTTCTGAACCCCCATGGGCCGCGGCACGCGTCAACAGGGTCGCCGGGGTCGAGCGAGGAGGCAGCCGCCTCGCTGGCAGTGAGAGAGAGAGAGAGAGAAGAGAGAGGAGAGAGAGAGAGAGAGAGAGAGAGAGAGAGAGAGAGAGAAGAGAGAGAAGAGAGAGAGAGAGAGAGAGAGAGAGGAGAGAGAGAGAGAGAGAGAGAGAGAGAGAGAGAGAGAGAGAGAGAGAGAGAGAGAGAGAGAGAGAGAGAGAGAGAGAGGAGAGAGAGAAGAGAGAGAGAGAGAGAGAGAGAAAGAGAGATAGAGAGAGAGAGAGAGACGAGAGAGAGAGAGAGAGAGAGAGAGAGAGAGAGAGAGAGAGAAGAGAGAGAGAGAGAGAGAGAGAGAGAGAGAGAGAGAGAGAGAGAGAGAGAGAGAGAGAGAGAGAGAAGAGAGAGAGAGAGAGAGAGAGAGAGAGAGAGATAGAGAGAGAGAGAGAGAGAGAGAGAGAGAGAGAGAGAGAGAGAGAGAAGAGAGAGAGAGATCGGACAAGTAGGCGGACCAGGGTCCGTCCGCGAGGCGCACTGCGGTGCGACAACTCGCAAGCACTATTTGCGGCGGTGCAGCCTTAAGATACGAGGGCGGGCTACAAAACCCCCTCCCCCGGCGCAGTGCGACTGACGCTACAGACGGCGGACAGACGATGAAGATCTCACCTGACAGACCGCGTGAGGTAAAAGGCCCCAACAAGAAAGGCGACGTGCTGGCACGTGGCTAGGCGGCTTGGCGGACCGCCAGTTGGGCGCTTGGCCGCTAAGCGGCGCGCAGTGACGGGGCACCCCCCGCCCCCACGCCCTGACACCGTGGACGCGGAGCCACACGTACACACGGGCAGGCAGAAAGGAGGAGATTAGCGCGGGGCACCAGGTGGAGCGCCGCGGAACGATGACAACATAGCTTGGATGTTGAGTGACGGCACGACACCATCGGGCGAGGTCGTGAGCAGCTCGGCGAAGGCTCGCCCAGCGCTGTGGAGGCGCTGGAGTAGAGGACCTTGACGAGCTTGGGCAGCGGCGAGGTCCGCGGCGAGAGCTAAGCACCTCTGCTGAAGGGCAGCCATAGCCTGTGACAGCTCGGTTTCACGGTCGGTGAGAGGTGGCTGCTCAGTGACATCCGCCGAGGATCTCGAGACAGGGGCGAGGTCCTCGGTACGCCTGTCCAGGTGGGCTAGCGGCGTGCGGGACCCTGAACGCTGACGTCCGTCACCCTTAAAAGGTGACTGGAGGGGCCGGCGCGACCCCAGGGCTGGAGCCGCTAGGGCCGCGCCCCGGGAGGTCAGGGGAGCCGCTTCCTCACGCTCAGCAACGGAGGAAGCGTGGGTGGGGCACGAGGGCCTGTCTGGTTTAGTACCCTGCGGGGGGGCTGAAGCCGCCCCCGCGGGTCGCTGACGATGGGGAGGCGGAGTGGTATGCGCGGTGGGACCAGTCGTGATGCCGTGCAAGGCCGCTGAGGTCGGTCGCGTAGAGGGTTGGTGACTCGGTGGGGCGGCATGGTCGGCAGCGTGTGGTGTCGGCGGTGCGTCCTCAATGCCACCCAATCCTCGGGGGGCGCTCGGGTCGTGGTCGGCGTTTTGGCGGTGACCGATATCATCGTATGTGGGCGTTAACACTCTTGGGGACGGCGTCGCAGTAGGGTTTGCGAGGTTTCCCGACGGGGCGGGGTTTTCGTTGGCTGGTCCGTCGTCCAAAGCGTTCGATCCCCCACCGAGGCTGAAAAGGTCATCGTCCTGCTCATCAGCGTCTTGAAAAGGAACGGCGTTGTCATGTGGGTGGGCTGACGCACTCAATGGCGGAGTCGGGGGCGCCGTGCGGGTGCCCGCCGGGGCAGGGTTGGCGCTGGCTGACTCGTCGCCCAGGAAGTCCAAACCTCCACCAAAGCCGAACGGGTCGTCCTCCTGTTCGTCGAATAACACCCGTTGGGCCTCGGCCCAGAGCTCGTCGGGGTTTTGTGGGATGTCTGGTCCAGCCGCGGGTGGAGCCTGGTCAGACAGCAGGGGATTTGGTTCCATTTTGTTTAGTTCTGCAGCAGTGAACCCAGCCCTGCGGTGTGGGAGAGGAAGTGTACGATGTCTCCGCTCGTAGATGGCAACGGCGACTCCATGGAGCACGGTCGCTTGGCGGTGTCGTGCTTTGGCAGCTTCAACGATGTCGTCTGGAAGGTTATGAGTACGTGCCGCCGCTGTGGCGAGGGCGTCAGCCTGACGATTGAACTCCTCCGCGATGGGCCCGATGAGCCCGAGGTCGATGCCCGTGTCGCCCTGGTGGCTAGCGACTTTCTCTACGCGGAACATGTTTGGCTTGG